ATATGAAAACAGAACACAATGTTTTGTTTCAAGTTTCTGATTTGTTGATTCTGTGCACACCTCATTATAAACTCTTCTTCCATAAGTAAAGAATCCCATTGTGGAATTGTTACATTCAAGATTTTATAATGGTCTATAATATAGTGGTCTAGCACAGAGGTCCCTAACCTTTTGGGCATCAGGGACCGGTTCCGTGGAGAGAGATTTTTCCGTGGCCTGGAGGGACGTGGTTTTGTGTGCTGCCTGCATCCCGCAGATGGGGCTTTGCTTGTTTGTGCAGACCGGTTGTTGGCATGGAAATTCCATTGGTGAGGCTAGACTGGGAAGTTATAAAAATCCTGATAAGAGGCAGGGGGAAAATTCTTTCCTATTGTTATAAAGAAAACTACATGGATGAAATCCTCAGGAATTAACCTCAGCTTTTTCAATGATCTATTTGAATGAATTACACCTACCTCCTCCCCAAATATAGTTTAAAATTGTATGATTCACCTTTTGTTAATTCAAGCAATTGAGTTTGTCAATACCTTCCTGGAAATTTTTGGAACACCATCTTATGGTTTAGGGCAGTGTTTTACAGCTTCAGTGACTTTAAGATGGGTGGACTTCAACTCTCATTATTCCCCAGCCAGTAGCCCACACATCTTAACATTGCTGAGATTGAGAAACACTCATTTAGGGAATAGAGGCTAGAAACAGGAATTAATGTTATGATAACTCTGGAAGTAAAACGCTCATCTCTATAATTTCATATGGCATATGGATGTTTGGAATAAACAGGAAGAGTACCAGGAAGTTCATAACCAGAGCAGGAAGGATGAAGATGTGATCTGCTCACATTTTGTATAACCTAACCAGGAAACATTATATCATAGTTCACTTCCAAGTCTAATTTAAAAAATAGTATGCATTTTTCTTTCCTTTGGAAATTTGTCCTTTAATACCCATTGGTGTTTGAAATAATGTTTTTTTTCTGACTCAAATAGCTCTTGCTTATTTTCTCAATTTAAGGCACTTCCCACAGCAAATATGTATATTCTAACTTCCTTGGAAATTGTTCTGCAATAAACTAAGAATTAAATGTAGATGCTTGAGTTATTGCTCAGGAATCCAAATCTGGTGTTGCAAAGCCAAAAGGTCAGGCAACAATATCCAAGGAAAAAGAAGCAGCATAATAAAAACTGTGAAGGATAAAGCAAAGGCACCCTTTAATTACAGTTGAAACTAATAGACCTGTTTGTTACTTTGATGGAAAAATGAAAGCCTAATATATCACTGCCCTATTTAATTCCTTGGTTACCATAACAAATACTCATTTAATACCTTAATTGGAGTGATTAAAAACATAGCTATGAAGATGACATATACAAGAGTGGTTAAACTTTAGCATTCCTGACAGCTAGTTTCTTCTGGTTGAGGTTTCTTACAGAAGTAAAACAGAACTAGAAGTTCATTAAGACTATTAGTGCAAAACTGAGGTTGCATATTGTGGTAAACTAGTTTTGACATAGGATTAAATGATAGTTTAAAAATCGGAATTCAATAGCTTAAACACCAAGCAAAAACTAAACAGCAACTTGATTTGTTGCAAGTCATTAATGTGACAATTAATGTAACTGACGCCTATACCATCTTTTGCTTCTTTGTGTTCATATATTGCCAGATTCAACAAGAAATAACTCCTGGCAATTTTCAATGTAAAAATTTAAGAGGCAATAAAAACCAACTATAAAACAGTAAGTGTGATGGTAACAATTTAATCTCCAGTGGAACTAAAACAAGCCCATTTAATGTGCTTCCAGAAGGCCAGCAATGAAGGTGCTAATCTAGTCTCAAGGGGGGAGAGTGTTCCATAATATGGAGACCACAACCAAGATTGTTTGCAAATCTTGTGTCCATTGTCCCCACCTGCAAGTTCATTAAAAGGTGATAGTGAGAGATTCGCCCTGGATTCATTGGACAGGTCACCTTTATGCAAAGAAGGTGATCTCTTAAGTACTTTAGCATCAAACCATATAAGGCTTTACAAGTCAGAACTAGCATTTGAATTGTATCTGGAAATTTACTGGCAACCTGTCCAATGCTTGTAAAACAGGTGTCATGCAATTATAGTGACATTGGTTTGCATTACATAGCTGGGCTTGAATTCTTGCAGGAGAAATGAAGGCACCCCCTTGGAAACTATAACTCATGGGAGATCCGTGTTCTGAAGGTCCCATCTTCGTTTCAAACAGAATCATGGCCACTAACTATAAGGGTTTGGCATTAGCTTTTCCCTTCCTAATAAGAGTTGTGTGGGTCAGTTAACAAATCAGGTAAATCATTGTAATACTGATATTTCATCTTTCTCTTGTTTAAATTCATTATATTGTGAAAGTTCCTCCTGCTGAGGCAATATCTTGGAAATGTGATGTGGATTAAGGGCATGGTTCACTCTGGAAAAGTAGATGATAAAGACAGTTTCAATCTTTGAAATTATATCCTTCTACTATGCTATATGCTAGTTTAGGTAATAACTTTATTTTGCAGTTAGATGTTAAATATTGTTTAGTGTGCTATTTGCTTTAGAATGCAGAAATTGGTTTAAATTGGTGTTTCCTTAAATCCCTTCTTGTCAAATACCCTCACCTTCTTTTCCTCAGAGGATAATCTAACACAGGGGTCCCCAACCTTGGCAACTTTAAGGCCTGTGGACTTCAACTCCCAGAATTCCCCAGCCAGCATGGCTGGCTGGGGAATTCTGGGAGTTGAAGTCCACAGGTCTTAAAGTTGCCAAGGTTGGGGACCCCTGATTTAACATGTCCAGATGACTCATGAATATTCCTGCTATCAGGGCTCAGCTTTAGCCTTCTGATTTCATTAGCTAATTCAAAAACATTGGGGGTTTTTTGGTTGCTGAAAGCAGAAATGTATTTTCAAAAAAGACAAACTCTAGAGGGACTTATGATTGTAGAATTGGTGCTCAGTGTACAAAACAAAAGTACATCAAATTGTTTTCATAATACCAAAAAGAAAAAATAGGATTTTTTTTAAACTTTACGTCAAAATCTCTACTGTGTTACTGTTTATAAATATTAGAAAGAAAAACAAAAAAGAAGTGGCAAACATCCTTAAAGATAATATAAATATTTGCTTTTTGACTTCCCTCTTCTTTGTTCTTCAACTGATTTGTGGTCTCAAGTGATGTAAACTTCAGAAACCCTGCTCTGAATGTTTGTACTTGCCTTGCTTCCTAATAAAAGCAGTCGTCTCTACAACTGGTGCATCAGCAAACTTCACTAACTACACAGCCACCACCTTAGTAACTATGTCACTAGGTTCCTTAGCAGATTTTACTATCTAACCCTTGGCTAATATTTGCCTTATGCCTGAAGAATGGGTAAATCTCCAAAAGGTAAACAAAATACAAAAATAATATCCTTTTAACCAATTCTTTCAAATATATTGTAAATACCCAAAACAGGTTCATTGGAAAAAACATACTGCAATTCCTAGAATTTGCCGGTATCTTTGTTTTATGTCTTGTTTTGCTTATAATGTGGACCAAATAGTTAAATTCATATTATTCAGAAATTACTATGCATTCATTCTAAATAAAACTGGTTATATTAATATTTAACTATATGTTTTCTTAAAATGAACCTTAATAACCATACTTTACTGTAATTTGATGTTTGAGAGATGAGAAATCTGTAATGGATCTGTGCAAAAAAGTGACCATGAAGAACTAGATCTTATTACTTGTTTTCTTGAGTTTTCTTGATTTAAAATTGTATCATAAATAGAAGCATACATGTAGTTTATACAAGTTTATTTGGAATACCTTGGCATGCTTGGAATACAATTAATAATTAAATTAATAGCTATGCAGTGTAAAATAGAAATGAAATAACAGAACATGGAAGTTTACTTTTTACAAAAAGACACCCCAAGCGTATAATTCTTCTAATTGTTTATATCTTATTTCTGCGGCATTCACTTTTTAGTAGTTAATTTGTTCATGTTTGCAGTCTTGAATTTGTTGTTTATTATTTTAAACAAGATCCTACGAACTTCAAGAAAAGAAATGCTAAATTGAAAATCCATATGTCCTTAAAAAGTTAGAACTTTGGCTGGATTGTATTCAGGATGTTTTCTTAACATTAAAAAAGATTCTGAAACTGGGGTACCAATAGTCCATTTCCAACATTTCCTCCAATGTTAAATGAAATACAAAATATATTATAAAACATTTTACACAGAAGACTACAACTTACCACAAAATTATATTTCATTAGCATGAATATGAAGAACTTAGTGTGATATAAACAAATCAATCACTTGCTTCAATTTCTAGATTTTAAACATGGTATATTAATTACTTATTTGGATATAGAAGAAGAGGGATCAGCAATCATTTTCTCTCTTGCCTGGATATAAATAGAACTCTATGAGACAATGTATGCTCCAGCACATCTGGATCCATTTTCAGATTTTTCGGTTCAGCAAAAAAACAGACATTACTTCCTGCACCACTAAGTGCCTGAACCATCAATCTTAGTTAGATAATCTTAGTGAGGTTATTAACAAGATCCTATATTTAGGTATATTACTAATTTACTTCAAAGAATAGTTTTAAATCAGGTTTCCTTTTACATATACAATAATACATATGTTAAGAGATTAGGACATTAAGTTAATTGCAATTAAATTACTTAGAAAATTAGTTTGAAGCTTATAGTATTTTCTACGCATAGGGGCAATATAAACCTTTCCACAATCATGCCACAAGTTTTACACAATACTTCTACTCAAATTTTCAAGCCGTTAAGATCATTTTTGCTTACTTGTAACAAAAAAAAAATTCTCCCCAACTGAAAGAAAAATTCCTAAAAGTCAAAAAATGTTTTATTTAGTTCTTATTAAAACAATAAGTATTGATATTTCCCAATTCATATGGATTAACATTTCTTGTTCCAAAGAAATGAAAAACTGTTAATATTTCAAGTGAAAATTACAGAAGTGCAAAAATTCTCAAGTGTTACTTCTTGAAAAATGATATATATTTTCTTTACCAAAGAAATACAAATTAGTTTTATTTTTCTGCAGAAAGCTAACACCGGCTAACACCTTGTAAGTGACCACCTTTAAAAACCCACAGCACAAGACTTAATTCCATAACAATTTTGGGAGACATTCTGACAAATATGAAGGAAAAGCTTTCCAGCATTTCTTTATATTTTATCAGCAGAGACTACAACTAATGACAATCCAAGAACATGTTAGATACAGTTAATGAGTACTTTAACTCAGTAACGTAGCTAAGACTAATGCATCCTTATTTTTGGAAGGGGCTCTTTACAATGTCTAGGCGGGGGTGTTGTGTGTATAAACCTTACAAGCAGCAGCCAACATATGCCCAACAGAGAACAAAGTGAGACATTACAAATAGTAGTAAGACACTATTAATTTACACTGCCTTTAATGCAGCAACTCAGGCTGGTTTTCCACAAAGGGGAGCACTCCACTAACATAGTATGCAATTCCAAGAGACAGCAAAGCAATGACAACAAGCAAGAGCAGCACTCGCCAAAAGCCCAGGTCTTCTACAAATTCTTGCCATGTTGTTCGGAAGCTGGACAGAACGCCTTCCCCTTGCTGCAGGTTGGGGTTGAGGAGAGAGTGGCTTTCCATGGCACTGTGAAAACAGAAATAAAAAAGGTCACTGAAGACAGAATTCGGACACCAAACATTAATTCTGATTTACTTATACCAGGAACAGACGAAGAAGTGGATAACAATAGGATGAGAAAAACCTAAGCTTGATCAAGCCTCTTTTCACTTTAGATGGCAACTGCGTTTCGCCAGCATTACAAACGTCTCAATGGTATTTCCAGCAGTAAGCATGTTATACAGGAATTCAATTTGTTTAACTAAAAATACATTGTGCAATTTTTATAAAACTGTTTCATGGCCCAAACCCCACACATATACACACTTTTATTGCTCTATCACAGGGGTAGGCAACCTCGGCTCTTTTATGACTCATGGACTTCAACTCCCAGAATTCCTGAGTCAGCACAGCTGACTCAGGAATTCTGGGAGTTGAAGTCCATGAGTCATAAAAGAGCCGAGGTTGCCTACCCCTGCTCTATCACATAGACCAGTGTTTCTCAACCTTAGCAACTTTAAGATAGGTGCACGTCAACTCCCAGAATTCCCCAGCTGGCTAACATAGTTTATAGGCCTCTTATGAGGAAGGCATAACTAATCTATTTTAAAAGTTTCTTAAAAAAAGAGAGTTTCTATGCTGTTTGTACAGCCAAAATCATTGCAAAACAGAAAAAACAAATCCAGTCCTATAGTCCCAAATCCAGTATTCCAAAATGAAGTAATATCCCAATTCTTAATACTCATAATGCATAAGAGAGAAGAGTGGGGGTAAGGTCTATTTAAAAGAAAATAGAAATACGTGTGAACAAAACATGTACATCTAGAACGGATCTCTATAAATGAGGAGCCACCACTGAACAGGTCTTATTTTGTATTGCTGACAATATAATTGTATCTGCCACACTCCAAGATGGACCACAGCCCTTTGACAGCTCCATATATGCCTATAGAGGTAATCCTTCAAATAATCCAATTCCACACACCTTAGGCTTTAATGGTCAAAACCAGCACTTTGAACTGGGCTTGGTTGTGGAAGGCAGACAGTTCATTTAATATAATATTGGACTGACATGTTAGGAATACTAAGCTTCCACAAGTATTTGGATAGCTGCAATTTGCAAAGCGAGAAACTTCCAAACATTTTTTAAAATCAAATCCATATGGAACCTATTATAATTCTCTAGCCTGAATGTTTCCAAGCACAGCAACTAAAATAAAATCTTTCATCCGTAGATCGACTCACAGCTGGCATGCTGCCCTAGACTGAGAAAAGGTAGTCTTATTATTGTAGCAATCAATGCTTTCCCAAATAGCACCAAGTCCAGCCTTATCCCCAAGCTACAAATTTAGGTCTTCTGAGGGAGTAGAACTCCATTCAAAGTTAGTGGTATACCACCAAACAGGTTAATCGATTTGTCTTATTTGGACTAAGTTTCAACTAATTCATCCTCACTTATTCTAAACTGTCTCCAGACATTTATGATCTCTGGCAAAAACAAGAATTGGGAACCATCTACTGTACATATTAATTTCAGCACTGCCTTCACTGCCCTTCTTCAGCAACAGCATCTAGAGGTTAAATAGTCCATGGACAAAATATGCCATCCCCAAAATCTTGACACAGCACTAAGTTATCTGTACTAAATTTCTCCCACCTGAAAGGACCCCAATGAATTATGCACAGTGTTATTAGCCCCAATCCAGTGAGATCAACACTGCAATAATTGGTATCAAAGACTGCTGCAGACTGCCCGTCAGGACAGGCAGTTATCTCTAACAAAGCTATCCTGGTCCCAAGCTAAAAGCTAGGTAAGGTTCTCTCCAATAATCAATAATTTCCAAAATTATATGGATTGAACATACCATCATTCTCTCTAGAATCTTCTAACAGGCTGCCCAAATGTAACTGATTTTCCACCAGTACATGTCTCTGCATTTCTAAGATCTACAAGCATCATCTCTTCCCTCAATAAAAAATTAACAACTTTTAAAGGTACAGATAATGACTTGCCTCCAGAAGTTGTGGGTTCTCCAACAATGGAGGCTTTTAAGAAGAGATTGGACAAACATTTGTCTGAAATGGTACAGGGTTTCCTGCTTGAGCAGGGGGTTGGCCTAGAAGAACTCCAAGGTCCCTTCCAATTTTGCTATTCTGTTAATTCTGACAAGAGTCACTGCCTCTTAAAAATTCTATATTTGAATGGGAATTAGCTACTCAGGCCTGGTTAATATCTATGGACCAGAACTCTATCAGATATAGCAGAACAGATGTGTTCCAGGTCCTGTCTACTAAAGAGATCCATCTGGTGGAACCCAGGATATGTGCCTTTTCTGCTCCAGACCAGGCTCACTGGAACAGAATTCCCCCTGTATCTGTTAGCTGTTCGGAAAGCCTTGAAAATGTGGTTCTTTCATCAACCCTGGGAATGTCATGGTGTATCTACAAAGTGGTCAAATAAGACTAAATAATGGTGGTCATCCTGCTATCTTGGAGTTCTTTTATGTTTTTATTCTTTATTCTTTATGCTTTTATCTTTTTTGTTATTTATGTCTGATGTATTTACATTGTGATATGGTTTTAATTGTTATTTTGGTGTATGCCGGCAAGAATCACTTATTGTGAGATGGAGATATACGAGCTGGCTGGATGACCTTGGGCCAGTCACTCTCTCTCATCCCAAGCCCTTTCACAGGGTGGTGGTGTGGGGAAAATAGGAGGAGGAAGGGGTTTTAGGTATGTTCATTGCCTTGAGTGATTTATAAAAAATAATAAAAGACAGGATTTTTATAAATACATAAATATAAATAAATCAGGAGGAGTTATCACAAGAGATAATATGCATAAAGTACATGCCATTTCTCAGACTTCTTATTTTAGTTTTTAAATACAGTATTTTCTTCCCTACAAAGCTGTTTGTTTGTAATTACAGAATCAATTGTCTCATTCTCGTGAGAACAGAAATAAGAAGGGAGCTTTTAATATAAAATAGAGAGGTATCCATTGGTGCATGACAGGAAAAAAAATCTTAAGACTCAGACAGTTAATCTATAACCGCTAAAGAGGTTAAATAAAGGTATAATATAATCTAAGTGGAAAGGTTATGTGGCTATTGAAAACAAAGTGGGCTCTACTTAAAGAGAGCTACTTAAAAATACAGTCTCATTCCACAAAACAACATAACATGTCTTGTAATGAACTGGTAAATAGAAAAAGAAAAAAAGCTTAATAGAAAATGTACCTATGTAGGCATTTATTTGTTACATTTACAACCCTCGGAATCAACTTCCAAACTGCAATTGTACATAAGTACAAATACTGACTGGTTACGTCACACAGAAATAAATACATTCACAAAGACAGTATTTTTGTACAAAAAAAATGAATTCATCCAAAACAATGTTGATTTATCATCTGTCTGAATGTTTTATTTGGCAGTAGAACCGCTTAGTATACTACAAGAGTGGGCAGTGTACAGGCTGTGGTTTTTAAGTCCCTGCATGCAGCCCTACAGAATTTCAACAGCAAAACACTCAAGAAACAGCCACACAATTTCCTCCCATCTCCAGTGGAAAAGAAAAAGAATTAAAACAAGCCTTGATTTAGGCTTAACTCCCCCCCCCCCAAAAAAATCCAACTCTGAAAATCTAGGGGGAAAAAAACCCTTGAAAATGTTGATCCTACCCACAAACTTTTTCTGTATCTTATTTCTCTAGTCTAGGCCACCCAAGAATTCAGACAGAAAATAAGAGGTGACCTTCCAGGCAAAAAGAAAAATTGTTTCATAGTAGGACAATACTTTCTAAAATACTGAAACTGCAAACTTGTAAAGGTCCCCACTTCAAAAAATAACAATACTGAAAACAATATTGCCTCGTTTCCATCTTGTGCTATCTTTTTCAGAAAGAAGATCCAAACATATCAATGTTCCAACTTGTTTTGTATAAATATGAATCATTAAGGGAAGCACATCCAAAGCAATGGAGATGGGGTTGTGAGCATTCAGTCAAATGCCAGAAGCAACAGCTCTTTTCTTTGCTATCTATCTTAGAATGCTTAACTATATAGCAGTGTTTCTCAACCTTGACAATTTTAAGGCATGTGGACTTCAACTCCCAGAATTCCACAGCCAGCAATGCTGGCTGTGGAATTCTGGGAGTTGAAGTCCACATGCCTTAAAATTGTCAAGGTTGAGAAACACTGCTATATAGCATGCAGCTGTCAGAAAGCTGTAAGTACAACTCCTACCTACTCTTCAAGGTCTCATATTCACAAAGGCATAGTGGCTTCCTTTAAAATAGCACAGTATTTTTATGAGGCATGTGATGTATTCTGTGAAACCCGTATCTTTTGTATGAAAAAAACTAGCCCACAAGTTGCATTTGAGCTATACCACTTCAGAAAGCAGGCTGGAGCTCAGTGGCTTCTCTATTCGAACTATCTACAAAGAGAAAATAATCTCAAAGATCAAAAAAAACCTGGAACCTTCTGTCCAGCATTGAGTTTTTCTATGTGTAAGTATTTATTAATTGTACAAGGGACTGTCAAGTCGTATTTCAAGTCGGAGACAACGACTTAGTCCAGCTACGCAATGTTAGTTGACTCCTGAAGTTCACTGGCCACGTGAGAGTCCAACCTCTTTAGAGCTCTTTCCAATGAAGAGTCTAAACATCTCCAACTGCAAAATTTGGGAGAGAAATGTCATATAATCAGCCCTGACCTTTTCCACTGTGCAGAATAAGCTCCAAATACGACAAATTTTTCCAATGACATTTAACCAGTGAAATAGAATCAAAACAATGGGGGAGGGGGGGGGCAAACCTTTCACTTTCAGCTGTCTGCATCGTTTCCAGCTTTGAGTGTGTTCCTCGGTTGAACCCTTTCACTTCTTGCTCTTCCAAAGACTCAAGCAATCGAATCACATCTTTATTTACCCCTCTTCGTTTTGCCAGGACAAGAGGCGTTGCACCTTGATGATTGCTATGTGAAGTGAAAAAAAAAAGAGAAGGTAATAGAACAGTTTCTATCTGAAAAATATATGCCTATCAATTGTTATGTCCCAAAGGTGCTTTTTCAAGAGGCAACTGGACTTTCTTGTTTTTCTTGGAAGACGTTTCGCTTCTCCTCCAAGAAGCTTCTTCAGCTCTGACTGAGAATCTCCACAGACATATCAATTGTTTGAAGAAAAAAAATCAGTTTATCTCAGTTTATTGGAAAGTATACCTCATTATTTTTCATCCACAAGTCTGACAGTGCTTCAAGTAATAGGGCCATAATTGCAGACAATAATAGCAGGTTAACAATCTGGCTGAACTTGCATTAAATTACATTATATTTGAAGTCAAGCACTTTGATCATACAGTTACTCTGACTTTACTTCCTGTGTTACAAGGACGTTATATTCTTGTGGATTTTAAAACAAAGGGTAATTTAATTAAGAGTTCTTTGGAAAGAAAGCTGTTAATACATTGCTGGATCTCTCCCACAAAACAGTAGAAGCTGCTTTCTTTCAATGAAAAACTGAAAATCTCCAGTATTAATAGCAACACATACATAAAACTAGCTATTGTATTAAGCAGAATTAATTAACTAGAGGTAGAAATACTTGAATCTTACATATGTTTCAATTGCATCAGATTTAAAAGTCAAGACTATGTGTAAAATGATTAGATTTTGTAGGAGATTATTACATTACAGTATCGGGTAACCTCTATTCAGAAAGACAACAATATTTGGAATGATATAATTTCTTTCTGAAAACTCATCTTTGTACATGGATTGGTCAAAAAAGAGTTGTGAGAAGCGCTGAAATTGAAATTAGAATGTTATTTTCTCTGTATTAAGGTTTATGATTTCAAGAACAGCATGTATTTGGGAGATATTACCTTATTTATTTGATCCCACCTTAATTATAATATAATCCAAGGCGGCCAGCATATTCAACACATCTTCCTTCTCCTATTTTCCCCACAAGAACCCTGTGAGATGGGTTGGACTGAGAGAGAGTGATTGGCCCAAAGTCAACCAGCTTTCATGGCTAAGGCTGGAATTGAATTTGCAGTCCCACTTTCTAGACTGGCGCCTTAATCACTACACCAAACTAGCTCTTTTTATCTGAAACTTCAAAAAGTTGACATTATAAATAGCTATTACTTAAAAAAAAAACTGCAGGTATTCCAAAACTGTAATTTCTTTTAATGTGATACTTGAATTACAATTTACCGAATAGCTCTATGCTTACAACCCTGTAAAATATTAGCATAGCCTCCATTCTTGTCAACTGAAGCATGAAAAAGCCAATTTTATAATGTTATTGTTGCTCTAGGGAAGCCACTTTGACAGCATGCTAAGGTTCAGCCTATTATTGCAGTTTTAAAGTCAGCCTCCTGCCATTATGGGTTGTTTTTACGTAACAAGCATAACTGGGACTAGCAACTTGATCATTAAAAGAAACAGCCACTAAGCGAAATCACAACTGTACTTATGATCTTACTTCAGCTTTCTTTTGCTTTATGACCTGCGAAGGTCATAAATACAAGGATTGGTTGTAAAGTTAATTTTTTATCACCATCATGAACTGCAAATGGCCACTGTGTAAGGCAGTCACTAAACTCTGTGGATCTTTGGTGTTTGTTTCTAAAATACAAATGCTAAGAATGTTTTATACATACAAAGCACTACAGGCAGTCTTCAGTTAACGACCACTCAGTCAGCAACTGTTTGAATTTGCCTTGGCCCTGAACCAATGGTACTTTTGACCGGTCCCTAGAGTTCCAGTCCATTCCAGACCACTGTTTCTGTGGTCATAGATCCAGGTGCTCAGCTCCCTGCTTGCAATTGCAACACTGCAATTTCCTGCAGTCGGATGGTCGCCATTTGCAATCTTCTTTGTTGGCTTCCGACAAGCAAACTCAGTGAGGAAGCCAGCAGGAGGTTGCAAATGGCCACCGTGGGGTGTTGCCACTCGGAACTGAGGACTATCTGTCCTGAGGGGGAAAGCTAAGATGGATGGTTGCTTTTTAGTTTTATTACTTATTGAAGCACTTTTGTTCTTTTGAAGCTGAGACAACAGGCACAAAAGGGGGAATAAAAGCAACTTTTAAGAAACAAGTATTCGGAGCTAAATTGGCTGGGTTTCTTTATACTTAAATAAATTAGGTGATCAATTTATTTTAAATGCAAGTGTAAAAATCACATTCAAGCTTTATCATTTGTACTTTTCACTTTCTTCGTTGTTTTTTTGCCCTCTAGATGGTAAGCAAGGCAGTCCCACCAGGACTTAATTTTATTTTTTTTTGTATGGTGATAACAGTTACAGCACTGATTCTTCTTTGAAACTTCTGTTCCTTTATGAAGAAGTGATTCCCAAGTTAATTATGAAAACCACTGCAAACTTCAAATAACTGTATGCTAATCTCATCAGTTCCCCCTCTTTTGATACAACTTAATCATCATATACAAATAAAATATTGTAACTCAAATATAAAAATAAAGAACAGAGGCTTAGCATCAATCATTTAAGAACAATTATTAAGTTTGAAACCACTAGGATACATGAACAGAGAGTTCAAAGAACAAACAATTCTGGGATTATTGTTAATTGTGTTTGTCAAACAGCTATTTATCCAGTACACTAAGTGCTTTTGTCTGGACACTGGCATATGACAGATGCTCAGAGCCTGGTAGAGTGAATATACAACATTTCAGAGAAAGATTGATTCATGAATTCTGAGAGCTGGTTGGGTGAGCACTGAAAAATAACGAAACACAAAGGACGTGCTGAACCATTTCTGTTTACATTGGAATAAATATACATATATTTCAAGTTATTAAAAGAGGTCAATTATTTTGAGATATCTCCATGTCAGGGGTGGTTGGCATCAGAATCAGAACAATGCCATCTACGCACTTGCTCTGGAGGAACCAATGCAAGTGCCCTCAAAATATTGCTGGAACACAACATCAATCCTCATCACCATTGGCCATGCCGGATAAAATGGAAAAGATTAAATGTTTGGCAGCTATACTGTAATTGTAGTAGCCAAGATAGTACTGGAAATGGTCATTGCTTGCTGGTTTTTTCACAGCTCCAGTACAATATGATATCAGGTCACTTTTATACAGAATGTTGTGACAAGAACACACTACCAAGAATAGTTACAAATAATTTCTATGCTGTTATTATCCCCCTGACCTGAAAGAATCATAGTGGTAAGTGCTACCCAAGAAAAATACAACAGAAAAGTCATCATATGTTTTTTGTCTTTCTATTCATAATAAAAGTAGCATGTAGAGTGGGTCAAGGATGCTTTTGTCAGCAGCTTCCACCATCCTGAACTTTAAGGATTAAGAAAGCTGAAATATATTCCCAGGAGCTATTCAAAGTGTTAACAGATAAGACTGATTTTTTTAGGTGTATGGTAGAGTGACAACCTTACCAAATATCTATCTTGAGTCCATTGGAGACGAGGAACTGAATGGTATCAACATGTCCGCACAGGTGAAGAGCTGTGTTACCTTGGTAATCTGTGGCCAAAAGATCCCCCCCAAATTTGTGCAACAACTGAGCAATATCAACGTTTCCTCGAGCTGCTGCTAAGTGAAGACCTGTTCGGCCACGGTTGTCCCGGATGTTTGGGTCAAAGCCACTCTCCAGTAGCCTCTTGGAATAGTTAAAATCTCCATCAATGCAAGCTTGTAGCAGAGGCACATTTGTTTGTGAAGAATCATTTACAAACACGTAAGACATGACCGAATGGGAAATGTAGCCAACCTGCAGCTGAAAGTGAAATGGAAGAAACTGTGAGCCTTTCTTAATAAGAATAATGCCAACGTTTTAAAAAAATGTTTTTTAAAAAATCAGAAAAGCTATCGTTTAAGGGCAAGATCCAAAAGCTGAATAGTATACATTGGATGCTCCACACTATTCTTGGAACAGAAAATATTTCTTATACTTTTGATGGTGTTACATTTATGATTCTCTCATTTTTGACAAGTTAATTTTGGCCACTACAATGATAGTTGCATTCTCTATAGAACAGGGGCGTCAAACTCAATTTCATTGAGGGCCGCATCAGCATTGCAGTTGCTCTCGGGGGGGGGGGCTGGGTGGGTGCGGCCTACTGGGTGGGCGTGGAGTGGGTGTGGCCTACTGGGTGGGCATGGCCAGCTCTACATCGTTCGCGTCAAGGGTACCTGTGGGGGCCTGGGCAGAAGTGGGACAGATCTGAGGGTCTCTGGCAGAAGGGGGTGGGACCGGGGCAAGTGCCAAGGCATGGTCCATTTCTTCATTCCTCACAAAGGGTGACACCTCCCCAGCATGCACCCAGGGGGCAGGGCCGACACAGCAGGGGCTGGTTCCTCGCTGTATCTAGACGGCCTTGTGGAGCTAAGACTGAATGCGTTTCAGTATAGATGGCCACCACAAAATTGTACATTGGCTCCCGGCCGGCCTGGGCCAGGGCCAAGGCAGCGGGGGCTATTCCCTCCCTGTTTCCAGGATGGCTTCGCGGGCCACATGAAACCACTTCGCAGGCCGCATCCGGCCCCCGGGCCTTGTGTTTGACATGTCTGCTCTAGAATATCGTACTTGATCCCCAGGCTTATACTATAAATAATATACAGATTCCTGAAAAAAAGAGAGAGAAGGAATACGGTATACTTTTCTTCAGTTGTCAAAAAACATAAGCCTATGTACAATGCTCAAAATGTTGTGAACCCTTTTGAATGTTCAATATTTCTGCATAATTCTCTGGATCATTTTCCTCAATAAATAAACAATTTTTAATCTATTTGTTTATCGGAGTTCTCTTTATATAATTTTAGGAGTTGTGTGAAGAACAGATCATACTTAAGCTCATATTTATGCAGAAAAACTAAAAATTCAAAAGCAGTGTTTCTCAACCTTGACAATTTTAAGGCATATGTGGACTTCAACTCCCAGAATTCCACAGCCAGCAATGCTGGCTGTGGAATTCTGGGAGTTGAAGTCCACATGCCTTAAAATTGTCACGGTTGAGAAACACTGTTCAAAAGGCTTCCTAAACCTTTGAGCACCACTGTACTAGGCTGTCTCAAGGTAACCAAATGATAAGAAATTCTTGTATTTGCTATTAATAACACCAGTCTTAATGGGATTAATTTCTCATGTAACTGCTTCTTATTTATATCAGAAATTAACAATTCAGGCAGTGGAGGTGACTAGCAAATGCTAAGAAAGATAATCCTCTTGGTATGCCTCTCACCAGATTTGCCAAAAGAAATGCTGCTGCCTTTCCCATTGAACATTTTTATTTACACAAATAATTTCAAATAGAAATTTGAAATTTATTCAACTAAATAAAGACCAAATAGCCAATGATCAGTCAGGAATACAAAAGGAAAAATGTAAGATTTGATTTATACATCCTCTTTCATTTTCAAAAGGAGTTTAGGTGACAATCTGCAGAAACTAACAGAGTCCACACAACAGCTGTGGTTGACAGGATGCATTTATGATCTCTATTAAGCAAACAGCAGCTGAGGAAGATACACTTTAAAGAAAAGCTGGCATTATAGTGTGATAAGCACACCCACCTTCTCAGTTTATGAGCTTTATAATAAAGTTCCCAAGTTTTCTTGGAGATTTTGTGCTATTACTGAATGGCTCTTAGCCCTTTAGCATCATCAGAGTGAACCCTGAATATTGTTATCTTTCACTCCTATGAGAGGTAAATAAATGGTGGTCAGAGTTATTTCTTTAATTGTTGCTTAGCAGAAATGCTGACTGAGGTCAATCTGCTCCTTCTCTTTCCTGAAGAAATTTTTTTTTTCAGTCATGGCTGGATATAAAAGCTTTGTCCTTATCCTTGCCTAGCAAAACCTGAGGCCAAGATATACCCTGCCTGTGTTTTCTGCTATTTGGGGAAATGGTGGAGGATGAAGGAGACCAGGAAGGAATCCTGATTACTATAATTTATGGCTTCATTTGGGAAGGATGCCAAAAACTGCAAAATCCTGCCAGGAATTTTAACTATATATGTTAATTCTTCTGCTTTTCTAGATCAGGGGTTCCCAATCTGTGGGCCACAGCCCACTACTGGGCTGAGGCCTATTCCTAACAGGGCCACCTGTGTGGCGGGCCAGGGTGTGCAAGTGTACACAGCCCCACTCGCATAAGCAGTGGGCACCGGCGTTTGTAGCCCCACTCACACAAGCACCGGGCGCCGGTGCTCACAGCCCCACTCGCACAAATGAAGCTGTGTGCGCATACGCTGCCTGCCCCTCGCACAAAACCATCCTCTTTTCCCCCCTCGCCGCCACACCGGGCCCACCAACCCAGAAAGGTTGGGGAATGCTATTCTAGTACAATCTTAGAATATATTAACTGAAATACATCACAATTTTATTTTTTGCTATTTCTATCTGAAAACAATTCCTTTATCTAATTTAACTACCTTTTTAAAAACAGCTTTAACAGAAGTAGCACTAATAGGCCCTCAGAAGGTCTGTAGACTTTCAGCTCCCTCTAGAGGTCTGTATAGCTGTAACTTCAATTCCATCTAGGTTGAGAGAACAATAAGGTGGCAAAGAGTGCCTTAATTTCTAACCTCCAATATGGAATTTTGGTGAGCTGTAGAGTTAGCTAATATCTCAGTGGAAGCAATTCCTGCTTCCTTCATCATCCTCATCAAGATGTGCAGCTGAAAAATTCACCCCATCTATTTTAGCCACTGTAAACTAAACTCCAAAATGCTTCTATTATCTAAAGTTGAACAGCCACGCCTTTCAAATTGGTTGCAAAAAAAAAAAGTTAATCACTTTAAAATCACCACTTTAAAACCATCATCAAGTATGAAAACCTTTATCAACTTTGGTACAGGTAACAGTGAGAAATGTTAAAATCTTGCCTTCAGCAGGTGCAAAATATGATCAAGGATTGTTAAATCTGCTCTGACCCACTTAATGGTCCAGTGCACATCTATAACAGAAAAGAAAAATCTTGTTAGATATTCGGTTTTCTGATAATACCACAATGTACAATTTAAATTAACTCAAAAACCAACCAACTGTTTCATATGCTTCAACCAGGTTGTTTGTAGCAGTATGTAACCAATTAACTAAAAACATCAGTTTTCACTTTACTTTTGCAAAGTCGGCATAAGCAATACGGTGAAACTTATTACAAGCATTCCACTTGTAATAAGGAATTAATCATTAAGTTTCACATGGATAGCTATAATCAATTTGCTAAATCAATAAATAAAATTGAGAAGCTTATCAAATCAATTTCTGATTCACCTTTCTCATCATATGTGCAAGGGGAAAAAATTTTTAATGGGGGTTTTAAAGTAATTTTTAACTAATAGACCGATTATTAATATTTGTTTTTAATTATGTTTTTAATTTGTAGTTTTTTGGTAGTAGCATTTTATCTGGTTGTTAGCCGCCCTGAGTCCGCAAGGAGAAGGGCGGGATATAAATTAAATTAATAAATAAATAAATAATAAATAAATATGTTTTCAAACACCACTCTTGTAAGCACATGTTTAAATGCAGTAGCATATGGAGGGATCTAGATTCCTTCTATTTTTTATAACTTTGCTGCCTCTTGAAAGTAATTTCTCTATTCTTGCGGCTCTGTTCTTGCTAACCTTTCCTCAAAATGTGAAGCAGCAGGAAAGAGGTCCTGAAAGTAATTTGCGGATCAAAACCAAATGGAACAACATTTTACATATGACCAGACATAACAAAGAGACTGAAGCAACCAAGATTGTTTACTAGGCCGATCCCGCCCTAGCCTTGTAAAAGCCAGGTGGAAGGCCCTTCCTTTGGCAGCTGGCGATGAGATCAGATAAACCGCTAAGCAACAGGTCACAGGTTGTCTAGTATATTTATTATTATTTTACTGAAGGGACTCAAAAATTATTCCCCAACATCTCCCCATTATACTTATGTGATAGCCAATCTTGGTTTCTAGCTATTACAATGGGAGTTGTTTGTCTGGGTGACATTTTGTGTTCGCAAACTTCAAATGCACAATTTTGAATGATGGTAACATTTGCTTATTTGTTTACTTTCTTTCAATATCTATATGCTGCCTACTGTCAAATGCTATAGGTGGCTTACAATAAACAATTTAACTCTCTCCTTCAAATACATATAAAAATAAAATGCATATAAATAAGTGATATGTGCTGCAGATCCCACCTGCATATTATATAAAACACCCTCCTTCTGTGCAAGATGGAAGAGAAAAGGTTTTTCAAGTTTCTTGAAGCACTAAGACACGGCAATGCCAAAAATGGGGGCAGCGGGGGAAAAAAACACAACTCCTAGTTCCCATCAGATAACAATTGCACAGGGATGGGACTTGGGAGATAATTAACTCAAGGAGATTTGGTTGGACAGAATCTTTCAGATAACCAGGACCAAAACCACATAGGACCCTAAAGGTGATAACCAGCACATTGAATCATACCAGGAAACTCATTGGCCATCAACAAAACTTCCAAAGCAAAGAGGTCACATTTGCTGTTTCTTGATCTGCCCAAAGGGGTGACATTTCCAGATCCTGATATCCTCCATGCCCTGGGTCAGCACTTCCACTTGTTTAGCACTGAGATGCATTGCTGAATAACATCAGCACACTGACAAATTACCTCTCCCAACAATTTTATGTAAAAATAAAGTAAGTGTTAAAAATAAGTGGGGAGTGGACCCTATCCACGTCCTCAGGTCTCACAGACTGAAAATAATCCCATATTATATCACAAGAGAAAACCAATCCATGGATACTCTCTAACTGAAGCCTTAACTCCTACCAAATGTAAGCGGCTTTATCCACTAAACGTCATAAAAATGTCTCACAGCACTCTTCAGATAATCCTGATTATTCTTCTTTTAAAAGGGAAAGGGCTGCCTTAAATAAGTCTATTGGTTGGCATTCAGCCAACATAATAAGCAAAACAAAAATGTTTGTAACCTAAATCCCATTATGTAGGCTTGAGCGTGAATTCATACCAATCAGACTCAAAATAAATCTTTATCCAGCAGTACTCTAATCATTTTCTCTGCCACTTCATTTCCTAGAGCAGATCAGCACACAGGGAGGCCATTCCAGTGCAATCCAGTCCAAAGCCTTGGATGGCCTATTATTCCAAACCAGAAATTCAGCCAAATTTCCTGCCAAGAAAGCTCTGAAAACCCATAAAATCTATTAGAAACTTGGGATAGGCCAATCTACTAGGTCTCCCTTATTGTGGAGTAGGGTGCTATGCCCAATTCCATAGCAATCAAAATAATCTATCCACGACAGGCAGATTACAATTTACAATCCCCCACTTTCGGATCACACCTTGTCTTCCACAAAACAAACGGCAGATCTAGTGTGTGATTTTCATGTGCGCTGAGCTCACAGTAAGTTGGGTCTGGTCCACGACTGTGATGGCTCCTGTGAACTGAGTTGCTCCAAACTCCTTGTCAAGGCGAATCATGTTGAAGTCCTCCAGGACTCATAAGTAGGGAAACACCACTGCTACTTAGGCAATCAGGATGAGCAGTCTTGGCAGGGCTGCCATGTGTAACAGGAGGATTTATTTATTTATCAAATTTATATGCCACAACTAGCACACCCAACTTGCCCAATCACACAAATAATATCTCAGATCAGGCTATTTCCGGTCTAGCATCTCTAGGAAGCAACAATGTCTTGTGGATGCCAACAGCTAGGTTCCTCTTCCCCTGCCCACCAGAATCTCAGCGGGCAAATTTCCATGAAAACCTCCCTGCTTCTCTCCCCCCCCCCAGGCCTCGGGAATGCATTAATGTTAACTGCATAATTCTAAAATATTTTAAATAACAATTACTAAAAACCAAAAAGGGACTTAGTTGTCTTGTCTGGTGTTTTATAAAAAGCACTAATAAGAAACATTTCTCGTGTATGTTTAGTATTTATTTTGTGAATCCTTTTTACTTTTACTAAATTCTCTATTTCTTCTGTGCATCACATTGCTCCTTCACAGAGTTCAAAAAAGTGTATACATATTCATCTTCAAAAGAATAGATAAGTGATGATTTCTACATATTTCAATGTAATATTGTGTTGTTATTATAAGATGTAGCTCCCAGTGAATGAAGGGATTGCTGCTTTCTATGGTGGACATAGAAGATATATTGCAAAATATCCTAGTGAATATTATATGTTCACAATAAAAATTGGTCTGATGAGCTTATGGTCAATAAAATGATTATTTGCCTCTTTTGGTATGTTAGCATTGT